ATATTTGCTTTTGAACTCAGTCATCTAAGAAACTGATGTTTGTGTTGATTCAAACTAAAAAAATCTTTTTAGTTTAGCTTAACTTAAGATCCAGTAAGACAGTAAGATCCCAAAATAATTGGTGGTGGAGAAATGCCCTTATCCTGCCCTGCAACAAAATACTGAGGACAATCTTGAGGTATAAAATCACTTTGACAAAAACAATGATTGCAAATACAATTCAGGGAGTCATCCAAAAGAACAAAAATGCAATAATGTGAAGTTGCTCTTACTAAACTTAAGTATGGCATTGACTATATCTTGCATCCAGATTAAGTATTGACAAGCATTGATTCTATGCTGTGTCACAGATAAAATTCTCCTGAAAGTATGGGCAAACATAAAAATATCACAAGTTGTATCAGACCAAAGTCCTGAAAGTCTAGCAATCTGTTTCCATAATGGTTAACCAGATGCCTATACCATAGAACTGTCACTTGCAGAGCCTGAGTGCAATCCTACCCACTGCCTCAGAAACTGGTAAAGAGACATATTCCACAGAAGATATCATAATGAGGAAATGCTAAGATAACAATCTCTATCCTTGAATTTCCTTTTTTTATAGCAGCTGGATACTGGATCATTTTTTTCACTGAGGTATCCCTTCTAACTCCAAGATTTCTTTTCTAATCTGTCACTATCATCTCAGACCCCATCAACATATTGGGGTAAGGATTTTTACCCTAATATTAATAAGTAGCAAAATATCAGATTATTCATACCTCAGTTCCTCAATCAGGAATAGTATAGTTCCTGAATGTGAAAAAGTCATAAAAATAAGTAAATACCAATATAAAAGGAATAGGTGTTCTATTAACTTGTGCAAAATAAACTCATCAAACATATTGCTAACAATCTGCTTTTAAATATTCATTGGCTTGTTTTTATGTTAGAGCTATTATTTTAAAAAGAGCCACTTGTCAATCTCTACTTTATATGTTAAGTGCGTATCCACCCCACTACACTTTTCTTGATGACCTTTGATACAAACTTTGTATCAGCATTAAACAGAAGCTCAGATATCCAGTGATTCGTGTGTCAAACATCTGACTCAGTTTGTAACTCAGGTTTAATGCTGAATCATTCACAACACTGATTTGGGTTTAATACTCAGTTCTGTAACAGATATTCAGATATAGTAGCTTCGAAGGGCAGGATTTTGTCCCCAATTATGATTTCATTATTTTATTTACAATTACAATTTGCAACATTTACATTTTCCAAAATTATACTGGCTTTCAAAATCAGTATTTTGAATTTTGAAAGTCAGTATAATTTTGGAAAATGTAAATATTGGGAGAGAAAGGGATAACTATTAAAAAGGAACACTTGTTTATAGTTTATAACCTTTCAAGACCACAATAGAAAATAAAAAATATTCTGTACTACTTCTCTCTACCACCATCTCATGGTCATCATAATTAAAAATTAGAATTTAAATGAACTCAATAAAAGGCAGCTTTATCTGATGTATAAAACCAAATACATTAAAGAAAAGTATAGCAAGCTTTGTAAAAAGATTTAAAAAAATAAAAGCATGGTGGAAAGAAAGGAAATAGAGGATGAAATATTATGCTTTCAGATGAACCCACAACTTTTCTGTAACTTCCTATTAATTTTTTTATTTATTAGATTTATATCCTGCATTTCATCTAGAAGCTCAAAGCAGCATGTATGTGCTCTTTCCTTCTACTTTTCCCCACAACAGCAACCCTTTCAAAACTGCTTTCCTATTTTTTCGGTCCTGTGACTTTTCACCAGCCGTTCTCCATTTTCTTCTGATAAATCCCTAATTTTGGATTAGAATGACCAAGCAGTGCCTTTTAGCGAAACACCTCTACCTCAAAGATATATGGGTATATGGCTGAATTTGCATATATAACAAGAAGCAATAAATACTGCATGACGCTGTTAGAAGTATGTATCAATTTATAGTTGAGTAAACCTAGATTAAAGTGCACTCTCTTCTAACACATCCTTAGGCATCCACAGCTAAGCAAGACTGTATCAAAATAACGACATGCACAGTGATGTAATGAACTCTTCCCGTACATACTTGTACCCCAATATTTGGTGCAAGCATATAAATCATAGGTTTTATACCATGATGTTATAATGCATGTTTTATTACTTCCCCACCCTGTAGATGCCTTCAGTCATTTCCATATTTTTTATGTCTAGTAGCACAATTTAGTTTAGGTTTGTTCAAATGTTTATTGTCTCTTGTTTAATTTTAAGTGCAAAAGGATGGATAGGAGAAATAGTAATTCTCAGAATTTATTTAACATAGTTGTTTAACTATTTCATTAATGATCACTACACATATGTTATAAAATCTCACACCTTGTACCATACAGGCAAATTTGAGACCATTCTCATTAACAACATGTTCACTTCCATTTATAACCTTTCACTCCATCATTAACAATCCAATTCAGCAAATCCAAGTAGAATAAGTCTAAACTTTAAGCGCATTCCTCAGCCACTGGGCTTTACTAAGAGTCTTATTTTTTTTAACTGAATTGAGGTTGTAAAAGGATAATTCTCTGATCCTGCCTAGGCCTTAATTTACCCAAACAATGAAGATGTAATCCATGCAAGCTTTTGTGTGTGGAGGCTTCAAGACATACATGCAATAGCAGTAATCCCTTTCAAAATCCCACAAAACAACTGGTATCAGCTTATGAAATGTGCATATAAATTAACACCAAAAAGCAAAACACAGGTCAACATTTTCTTCCCTACTTCTAGAAATGAGCGCATTCCTCAGCCACTGAGTTTTGATGCTATTGTATTAAAATATTTTTATGGACAACAGCTTTCCTAAACTTCACTCAGTTATATGCTCATCCTGTTAAAATTACAAAAGACAGAGAGGGCACTGTGTTACTATGATTTGGTTTCCCATTTATTTCTTCCCTTTTAAATGTATTTCAGATTATGAGTTCTAGAAATCATCAGTGCATAAAAAATAAAATCTATTATTTTATTTTTCTGTGGAAGTTAGCATATTATGAATATGTGTTAGGTACTCAAATGGTTCTATTACCCAGAGGTCTATCTGTAATTCTCTGGCAGCAATCATGCCATGTCCCAAAAGCTAAGCTGGAAAAACCTAAGTCTATATTGGAATGGGTGACTGCATACAAGTGCTATCTACTATGGATTTTCTACAAACTACATCGTTACTAAGAGTTGACACAGACTTGATTGCACATAATCAATCAATCAAATGAACACAGCACCAGCATGTTGGATTTGGGGGTTTTCTGCAAAAGACTAATATGGATACCCAGCTGGAAAAGGATAATCCATCTTTATTGGGGGAGGGGGAGGCATACACAAGCAGAACTTGTACTGCCATCCTTGTATCTATTATACACTTCCCTCTTCTGTTCTCACAGCTGAGAAACAAAATTTCATGCTAACTATCAGTAGTACAATTAAACAGACCATGGAAAGCTATCATTGTAGCAAAACCC